GGCCTAGACTCAGACAACAGGTCCTACTCCTCTCTCCCTCGTGGGCACGGCCCTCCCGGGCCATGGGCACGTAACACGCTGCCTGTGTACCCCAGATACTGCAAATAAAGTAAGAAGCCTCCGAAGACGTTTATCACTGAGCCCCGCTCCGCTGCAGCATCACCAAATAAACTGGTTATATTCCCCCACACACGCCAGCCAGGGTACTTCCCCACACACGCCAGCCAGGGTATTTCCCCCACACATGCCAGCCAGGGTACTTCCCCCACACACGCCAGCCAGGGTACTTCCCTCACACACGCCAGCCAGGGTACTTCCCCCACACACGCCAGCCAGGGTACTTCCCCCACACACGCCAGCCAGGGTACTTCCCCCACACACGCCAGCCAGGGTACTTCCCCCCACACACGCCAGCCAGGGTACTTCCCCCCACACACGCCAGCCAGGGTACTTCCCCCACACACGCCAGCCAGGGTACTTCCCCCACACACGCCAGCCAGGGTACTTCCCCCCCACACATGCCAGCCAGGGTACTTCCCCCCACACACGCCAGCCAGGGTACTTCCCCCACACACGCCAGCCAGGGTACTTCCCCACACACGCCAGCCAGGGTACTTCCCCCACACACGCCAGCCAGGGTACTTCCCCCACACACGCCAGCCAGGGTACTTCCCCCACACACGCCAGCCAGGGTACTTCCCCCACACACGCCAGCCAGGGTACTTCCCCCACACACGCCAGCCAGGGTTCTTCCCCCACACACGCCAGCCAGGGTACTTCCCCCACACACGCCAGCCAGGGTAATTCCCCCACACACGCCAGCCAGGGTACTTCCCCCACACACGCCAGCCAGGGTACTTCCCCCACACACGCCAGCCAGGGTACTTCCCCCACACACGCCAGCCAGGGTACTTCCCCCACACACGCCAGCCAGGGTACTTCCCCACACACGCCAGCCAGGGTACTTCCCCCACACACACGATTTGATTTGATTGGGACTTGCTCATGAGTGAATAGAATTATCAAAGCTTATTGCTTATTTGCTTGGGCAAATACGATTCTGTTAGTGGGAAGGTTTTTGAAGGACTTGTCTAGTATGGGCCAACAGGCCTGCTGCAGTGTTTCTGCTTTCTTATGTGCAAACATATATGGATGAACATCACCTTGACACAGCTACTGCAGGCCATGCTGGCAACATCTACAATGACAATGTTGTCCCATTTTAGGGAAATTTTAAAGAGATGCCAGAAACAGAGGTCTCTGGACAGGTATTTTGTGTGACAGGGGTTCAGTGACTCACGCCGGTCCTAGTGGCATTAGAAAACAAAGAAGGGATGTAAGCCTGGAAAAGGAATTTTTACCTTAAGTCTTTATGGAAGGGGATTCCCCTTCCAAACAATAGTACACCTGGGAGGTTATTCTGGGGATCAACGTCCCCGCGGCCCGGACCATGACCAGGCCTCCCGAGCCACAGCCCGGCTGATCCGGCACTGACCATCCTCTCCCTTCCTCCCGTCTCGTCAATCATCAATAAGTCTTCAATAAAGGTAAGTGTCATTTTAGTAATGTCTTACTCAGCATGTCTCATTGTTTTCTGTGTAGGGAAATGTATATTTCATGTAAAAAAATTATTATGTTCAACCCCTTTCAGGGTCCGTGCCGTAGATCTACGGCTTTACGTTCAGGGTCCAAACCGTAGATCTACGCCACGAGCTCAGCTCACTCTGATAAGCTGTGAGCAGTAAGTTTGGGCCTAGATATGAGAGAATACATCTATGTGGTATGTGTGCACCACATAAAACAACTCCTGCAGCACAAAGTGTATGAGAGAAAAAAACCCGAGACCGTAATTTTCGATTAAAACAGCAACTTTGCAGTGTTTTTTCATGTTTTTTTATAGGTGTATTTGCAATTTCTTGGTCTCATTTGATTGAATGGAAAATATACTACAGAAATAGAGATGGCTTGAAACTGAGCTCAAAGTAGCAGAAATGTTAAATTTTTGCCGATGTTCAGAAGTAAACAAATGACCTCACAAGTCTAATACATGACAGCTGGTGGGTCAAATATGCATTTACAAATGTGGTGATATTATTTATACAATTATTACAGTATTGCATAACAGTAAATCTTCTATTTTTTGGTTTGAATAAAAATTCATTATGTGAATAAAAAATCAAAATGGAATTCATTTGTAAAGCCTGAAAACGTAACTAAGGAACAGAGGAAATGTTAGTTTAGCGCCAGGAATGCCTGCATTGTTTATTCTGGACCCTATTTGGAAATTGGAATATTTTGAACTTTGCATTAAATTGGCCAAATTACCAATTTCCGGTCAATTTATTTTGTTGTTGAAACAGTTGACTTAGCAATTTCTTGTGCTCAATCGATAGAACAGAAGTAATACTAGTGAAATAGTTAAGAATTTGGTTGACTGGAATACACTGTAATTGCCCTAAAATGGGAGTCAAATACACAAATAACCTGCACATAGAAGAGAGGAGCTTACGGCGATGCTTCGGTCCAATTTGGACCATTTACAAAGTCACACTGGGAGTCAAAGTCGGCAAAATCGCCGATGCGTAAATATTGCCGACACATCAAAATTCGCGAGAACATAATTTCGTCAATTTTCCATCAAATTTCATACTTTTTGTTTTATTACTTCAGAAAAGATTCTCTACCATTTCATAAGAAAAAATAAAATTATTTTTTAAAATTCTTGGACCATGGTGCGCAATTTGAAATTTGGCCTCTGGATCCTGAAAGGGTTAATACTTTTGGGTGTCTGGAATGGATTAATTTAATTTCCATTATTTCTTATGGGGAAAATTAATTCGGAATAAGTCAGTTTCAGGATAAGTCATTCTCTCTGGAACGGGTTAATTTCGTGATCTGGGGGTCCACTGTATATATATGTCGTGCTGAATAAGTAAAACTGGTCAATTAGCAAGAACTCATTTAAAATTAAGTCTTTTTCTAAAATTTTCTTTTATAGATTTAAAGGTATATTTCTTCATTTATGTTAATGTAAAAAATAAATAATTTTCTACCAAAAGAACCTCAGAAAATGTACCTAACGTTATTATAACAAGCACAATTTAATTTAGCCTAGTCCAACTAAATATTTTTAGACAAGTTTACAGCAATTTAATAATAAATAAATACAATGAAATATACTTTTTTTCGTTAGTTTCAGAATGATTTTTGCAAAATTACTGCATACAAAAATTTTTTGCTTGCCTTGTCTGGCAAGAAGAGCATTACTGTTTATGCCAAGTCTGCAAGTTGTATCTATTCAGCATGACATTATATACACCCACACTATACAAACAATACACAATATACACATACTACACAATGCAAAGATCATTTCAAGTGTGATCTTGTGTGACCATTTGAAGTTTAACCTTCATTTGATGTTCATTTGTGTATGTATTTACATTTCTGGCAAGGCAGTTACTAAACTTTTTTTTTTTTTTTTTTTTTTTTTAATAATTGCCCTACCTAGGAGTTACCTGAAGATTATCTGAAGTCAATTCCAGGGGTCACCTCCTCCATGGCCCAGTCACCAGGTTATGAAAAAACTGGATTTTCTCAATTCATGGTGTTTATTAGCTTGCTAAACATGAATTCTTGCAGTTTTTCTAGAACTCTCTTATTTTTGCCTTAGTACATGTACCTGGGGCCCAATAACGAGAACTGACAGACCAAAACCATTGCGTTAGGTAAAAAGGACACAGGTGCAATTAATGCGACATTTTACTGTGGCAACGTTTCACTCTCCAGGAGCTTTGTCGAGCCATTACGGTAATTCTACCAACATTACAAAACTACTGTACCTACTAGAAAATATAACCAAGAGTAATTTAACCCTTTCAGGGTTTTGGCCGTACTAGTACAGCTTACACACCAGGGTCCATGACATATTAGTACTCATAAATTCTAAGGCCTTCAAATCTAGTGAGAAAGCTGGTAGTCCTACATATGAAAGAATGGGTCTATGTGGTCAGTGTGCACAGTATAAAAAAAAATCCTACAGCACACATTGCGTAATGAGAAAAAAAAACTTTGACCGTGTTTTTGGATTAAAACAGCGACTTCGCACTATATTTTCGAACTGTATTTATTGTTGTATTCTAGTTTTCCTGGTCTCATTGTATAGAACGGAAGACATATTACAGAAATTGAGATGATTTTGACTGGTTTTACAATGAAAAGTACCTTGAAATTGAGCTCAAAGTAGCAGAAACGTTCGAATTTTACCGAAGTTCAAAAGTAAACAAATCATGCTAAGCGTCCAATACACGTCAACTGGCGAGTCTAATATTCTTTCACAAGTGCGCCGATATTATTTATACCATTTCTACACTAATGCAGTAGTCTGCATAACAGTAAATCTTCTATTTTTTGTAAGAATAAAAATTCAAAGTGGAAAGCAAAAGAAATTTAAGAGGGGCCTGGGACGTGACTAATGAACAGAGAAAATGTTATTTTAGTGCCAGAAATGTCTTTCTTGTTTATTCTGGACCCTATTTAGAAACTGGCATCTTTTGAAATTTGTGTGAAATTGGCAAAATTGCTAAATTCTGACCACTGTATTGGACCGTTGAAATCAGTAAATTGGTAGTTTCTTGTACTCTTTCGATAGAAAAAATGGAGTTCTAGCGAAATTATGATTTTTGTCGACTAGTACATGGGAATTGGCTGAAAATAGGGCTCAAAGTGGGCAAAATCGCCGATGCGTAAACATCGTCGAGACCGCTAACTTCGCGAGAGCATAATTCCCTAAGTTTTCCATCAAATTTCATACTTTTGGTGTCATTATGACCGGGAAAAGATTCTCTATCTTTTCATAAGAAATAAAAATTTCTTTTTTTTTTCAAATTTGGGGGACCCTGAGAACAAGTCTCTGAGAGGGCCTGTGGACCCTGAAAGGGTTAAAGGAACAAATACTGGTTACGAGACATTACCATAGTATGATGTACAGACTGTCTCACCTTTGCTAATCCTGCCTTGTTGGCTCCTTGGGACTCTATATAGGTAATGTACGAGGTAAAGTCTTTAAACTCTTCCCAAGTTGGCCGAAACACCATAATTTTGGGTTGATCCCCCATTGTGGACTTCATCTGTCAATATAAAAAGACAATGTATCAATTGGAAAATAAATATGCATAATTTTGTTAGCTGTAAATCTTATAACACTGGTATAATTATACAAAGAAAAAACACTATTCTAATTTTAACAATGGCGGGAGATGGTTTATGTGGACTGTTGAATTTCTTTACAGTATTGACAAGCCTCCTTTAAATCTGTTAAATTGTATATATCTTTTATGCCAAGATACAACAAGAGCAATGCATGCACAATCTGATTCAGTGTCACAAATTAAACTCAAAATAAGCAGCATTCCATTAAATGATATCAAAGATTTTATTAACACTCTGCAGGACTTAATACATTTGTGGTGCATTTATCATTAACCACCACCCTACATATATACATAGTAGGGATGGGTTGAAACCAAAATTATTACCAATACTAATACCAATACTTAATTTTATGCTGATATCAATACCTACACTAATACCATCAAAATTGGCCAATACTGACCAACACCAATGCCATCAATATCAACTGATATAGATGCAATCAAAATTAGCAAATACCCACTGATACCAAATACATACCTTGACATATCTCCACAGTAGGGTGGTTTGATATGGGATAGAAAATGAATTCTTAAATTTTTCTCACTTCTCCCCTTCGTTGTGTTTCTTTTTGCTAAAGCATTTTCTTATAAAGTCTTGTGATGATTGGAATTCATTCAGAGGTGCCCAACACCACCAAATGTTTTCCTCTCCCTCCCTACCAAACAGAAATTCCTTTAATACTGCCTCTCTTCACTTAGCAACAGAGTTCTGTCTCTAAGATCATGTTGGTAAACAAATTCGTTGCTAAGTGTGAAGCATACTATAATGACAGTGGGCTCGTGTTAGCCATCTTTGATGTTGTTTTAATGTTACTTTTGCACCATTTATAACATTTCTGGTATATTTTTAAATGTTTATACAGTAGTATTCTGCATAATGTAATGAACAGAATAGAGGAAATCAGCTCTAATATACATTATTTAGGTATGCATACTGGTCAGATAGCCCATCTTAAGTCAGAGTCGTCGGTAAACGAGTGCTTCGCTAAGTGAGGAAAAGCTGTAATCTTTATTATTAACACATCAGTTGTTTCCCACCAAACCAGGGCGACCCCAAAAAACTACACACTTTCATCATCATTCGCTATCACTGTCTTGCCAGAGGTGCACCTACATTACAGTTCAAAAACTACAAGTCCAGCTAACCAGTTTCTCTGAATCCCTTCATAAATATTACATTGCTCACACTTCAACACAATGCCAAGTCATAAAAACCATTCGTCTCCAATCGCTCCTAACATGCTCATACACGCTTGCTGGAAATCTGAACCCCTTGCACAAAAAAACCTCCTTTACCCCTTCCCTCCAACCTTTCCTAGGATGACCCCTACCCTGCCTTCCTTTCACTACAGATTTGTACGCTCTCCAAGTCACTAGTATTTTGTTTCATCCTTTCTAAATATCCAACCCACCTCAACAAGCCCTCCTCAGCCCTCTGAATAATACTTTTAGAAACCTTGCACCTCCTCCTAATCTCCAAGCTAGAGATTTTCTGCATTATATTCACACTGTATAATGCCCTCAGACATGACATCTCAAAAAAATAACCCGCATGTAGGAGAAAGAAGCTTACGACGACGTTTGGGTCAGACTTGGACCATTAATCCTTTGGGTGTCAGTCCTGACTTTGAAGCCAGGGTCAGTCCCATTGTACTATGCCACGAGCTCAGCTCACTCAGATAAGCTGTGAGCAGTAAATTCATCCTTAGACATGAGAGAATGGGTCTATGTGGTAAGTGTGCATCATACAAAAAAAAATCCTGCAGCACACAGTGCATGATAAAAAAAAACTGCGACCAAGTTTTTGATTTAAAACAGTGACTTTACAGTGTACAGTGGACCCCCGTGAATTCGCGGTTCCGAATTCAAGGCTTCAGTAATTCGCGGATTTTTCCTTGGACCCTAACTAATAGTTGTTTGCGGAAATCCCTGCAAATTCACATTTTTTTTTTTGGGGGGGGGGCCATTTTTCATGGCAATGTAATTTTTTGTGTGTTTTAATGCTAAATATTAAGAAAAACATAATTAAATAACTTTGTAACATAAATTCAGCAAAATTTCCACATACATGTACTGGCAAGTACCCGTACATTTAACTTTACTTTTACTAAATTAATTACCGTATATTTAGCATACATATAACAAAGAAAATGGGGTTGCATGAATTGCAGTATGCCAAAGAAAATGGGCTTGCATGAATTACAGTACATATGGGGGGTAACATCGGTATTTTACATTCTAGCACTGCGGGGGAGACAACAGTACAGTACTGTATGTGGGTTTATCTTTACATTCTTTTTTTTTTGTATGAAGCCAAGTTTGAAATTAAATTCAAGTGTTTTAGGGGTATATTTAGGGTTTAAACTATAAAAATAGGCATTCACAGGCATTTTCTTAAGTGTGTCCAGAATTCAGTTTTTTCAAATTTGTGAGTGGTCTTGGAACGTAACCCCCGGTTTCTTGGCCTCATTTGATAGAAGGGAAGATATATTACAGAAAGAGAGATGATTTTTATTAAATACTGAACTGAAAGTAGCTTGAAATTGAGCTCTAAGTAGTGGAAATGTTTTGATTTTTGCTGATATTCCGGAATACACAAATAACATCACTTGTCCAATACACATCCAACTGGCCAGTCTAATACATATTTAGGAATGCAGTGACATTATTTATACAATTATTACAATAATGCAGTAGTCTGCATAACAGCAAATCTATCTTTTGTGTGAAAAGTTCAAAATGGAAAGCAAGCGTAGTATAAGAGGGGCGCCTGGAGACGTGACTAAGGAACAGAGGAAATGTTTTTTTTAGTGCCAGGAATGTCTAGTGTTTACACTGGACCCTATTTTTAAATTGGAAATTTTTTTGTGTGAAATTGGCCAATGTACCAATTTCTGATCACTTTATTGGGTAGTTTAAATAGGTAAATGGGCGGTTTCTTGTACTAAATCGACAGAATAGAAGGAATACTAGAGAAACAGCTATGAGTTTGGTAGTTTGGAACAATGGAATTGGCCAAAAATAGTGTGCAAATTGGGCAAAATCGCTGATGCAAAGAGTGTATCATTTCATAAGATAATTTTTTTTATTTAATTCTGTGATCCTGAGAGCAAGTTTGAGATCAGGGGTATTGACCCTTAAAGGGTTAACAAAGCCACAGTGTGACTTTGTAAATGGTCCAAGTCAGACTGAAATGTTGTTGTAAGCTTCTCTCCTATGTGCAGAGACTGTGCTGTGCTTTTTTGTTCATTACACACCATCTCTGCTGCCTCCACCCTTCTTGTTGCAACATTCACCACCCATGTTTCACACCCATATAAGAATGTTGGCACCACTATACTCTCATTCATTCCCTTCTCTCTTTCCTTGGACAACATTCTTTGTCTCTACATATCTCTCAGTGCACCACTCACCATTTTCCCCACATCAACCCTATGATTCACCTCATCTTTCATAGACGCATCTTCTGATGACTCCACTCCCAAATATCCAAATACATTAGCTTCCCCCATACTCTCTCCCTCCATCTAATCTGATATTCAATCTTTCATTACCTAGATTTTTTGTTAACCTCATCACCTTGCTCTTTCCCATGTTCACTTTTAATTTTCTTCTTATACATACCCTTCCAAACTCATCCACTAACCTATGCAACTTCTCTTCAGAATCTCCCAAAATCAGTGTCATCAGCATAAAGCAACTGTGACAACTCCCACTTTGTGTCATATTCTCTCTTAATCCCATGACACTTCCCAACACTTGAGCATTCACATCTCTTACAACACTATCTATAAATATACTGAACAACCATGGTGACATCACATATCCTTGTCTAAGGCCTACTTTTACTGGGAAATAATCTCCCTATCAACTACATACCCTAACCTGTGCCTCACTATCCTCAAAAACTAACTGCTTTCAGTAACCTACCACTTATTCCATACACTTGCAACATCTGCCACATTGCTCCCCTATCCACCCTATCATATCTGTTCCACATCCATAAATGCAATGAAAACCTCTTTACCCTTAACTAAATACTGTTCACGTATATGCTTCACTGTAAACATTTGGTTTACACCATTCCTAAACCCTCCTTTTTCATCTGCGATCCTGCTCTTTGTCTTGCTCTTATTTCTTTCAATAATAACTACTATACACCTTATACTCAACAGGCTTTCCCCCCCACCTGCTATAATTTTTATACTTTTTTTTTTTGTCCCCTTTGCCTTTCTTTATACAAAGGAACTATACATGCTCTCTGCCAATTCCTAGGTGTCTTCCCATATTTCACACATTTAATAAATAGAAAAACCAACCATTTTAACCTGCTTTTAGCTACAGTTTAAAACTACCCAAGAAATCCAAATTAACTCAAGCTTGCTAAATCAATTTTAAAATTTATCACTCTATAACCTATGTCTAGTTTTAAGTACCTGTAAGCATTAGAATTAGTCTGCCTGAAATGCTCATGCTTTCTAGTGGCTTTCTTTGTGCCTGACAATATTTTATTACATGTAAACTACACACTGTACTGTACAAAATAGAGGATTTGATTTGATTTGGTCCCCTCGGTAACAGCTGTTTTATCAACTCATTCTACCCACAGCCTCATGCACCTCCCCTACACTCACATTTGGCTCTTCCTCACTCCAAGATGTTATACCTCCCTGCCCAATGCACGAAATTACAGCTTCCCTTCTTTCATCAACATGTAACAGTATCCCCTCCATCTTTCTGATATGTCCAACTCTCCATCTAATAACTCTCCTCTTATTTTTTAACTGTCAAATCCATTCATTACCTAGGCTTTCTGTACTATTAACCCTTAAACTGTCCAAACGTAGATCTATGTTTGCACGCGTAGCACTCCGAACATAGATCTACATTCAATTTTACATTGTTTCTTATGTAAA